CATCCCTAATATATATATATATATATATATATATATATTAATATATATATTGTTACATTAGACTTGATTTGAAAATAGACCCGATTTTAATTTAATTAATTGTGTAGCCCTAAATAGTAATGACATTAAATGCATTTTTAATAAGCATTGGTAAATTGTTTCACTATTTATATGCCATGTGGGTTAAACAGCTGTGTATGATAAAAGTATGAGTGAAGCAGTGAATGAAATACATATTTGACACATTTTATTTTTTTTAAATATCGTAATGCTATGACTTTTTTTATTTGTTTATACTGTGGTGTGGACCTACAAAAACAGGTCTGCCCTTCATCCAAGCTATAGCTCACATCAGCAGCCAGTCATGTGCAGCAGTTCAAGCAACAGCTCCATTTTCAGTAAGGAAAGCAGAAAAAGCTTCTCTAGTCTCCCTGCTGTGAGGCTCCAATAAATCAGCAGGAGCAGACGGGCAGTTCCAGCCTAGACTCGTGACAGTCTAGCGCCATAACACACGTGTGTGGAGCTCTGGAGGGAAGAAAAGTGCTGGGATACTTACTGAGGAGTAGCTGGAGGAGGCATTAGACACCAGTGAGAGCACTGAGCCATGAACTGCAGGTGGAAAGAGACACACAGAGAGAGAAAAACACACAAGTGTGAGCTTAAAAGCAATTGAGTAGCTAAATCCTACATTTCGGCAAAATCAGATTATTTATTGTACCTATCCTGTGTTGTTTTATCATTTGTTGAATCACATATAGATTACATAGCTTTGTTTTAGCATAAAATTTGAGTCATTTTGATTCAAGGCTTAAGGCAACAATGGTAATATATTTGTTCCTTTTGGGATTCGAACTTGCAACCTTTACCAGTCCAGATATTTCATCTGTACTCCCCATGTAGACTGTAGCATATCAATCCAGAGTCTCACCGTCATCGCCGGCGTCTCTGTCTCTGAAGGAGCCGGATCGGATCATGCTCTTGGGCCGCTCGGCGAGCGATAAGGTGCTGCCCAGCGGAGAGGCCTGATACAGCTCAAAACTGGCCTCGTGAGCGGGGATGCTGTTGGATCTGGTCATTCTTGGCGTTCCTGAGGTGGGACTGGGTGCTACTGCACATAACAGACAGCAGAGGGAGCCAGAGGTTATATATGATATAAAACAGATAAAGGTGCCCAGCATACTGCCTGACACCGACAAAGACAAATGCTTGAAATGCAAATATAAATATAAAATAAACATACAAATATAACATAAAAAATAGCCATTAATTCTGCTTAATATATTTCAATTGATGGAAGTTAAATGTGTTCTAGATGTTGTTTAATGCTGTCTTTAAATATATATAAAGTATATATATATATGAAGTTCATTTGCAAAAACCGATAAACGTCACTTTAAAAAAAAATGAGCTGATTGCCGTGCATTATTCTCCACATATAGCGTGATCTGAACCCTAAACACGTTTTGTCAAAAAAGCCAGTTTTGTCCACTTTCAAGGCATCGCGAGTTCACGTTTTACTGCAGAAGCCGACAAGTGCCCTTGTTGTTTTAGAACAGAAGCCGATAAGTCCATTTTAGCGAATCAGTGCGCCGTATTCAGGTCAGGTGACAAGGCTACTTTCACTTTGAAAAGACGTGCTAGCTGAGAGGAGTTTCGTCAAAGCTGACTAAAAGTGATCGAGGATGGATCATTTCGACGAACTTGATGAACCTGTGATATCTTCTTTATATATATATGAATTAAAATATTCATAATTTATTAATAAATAAAAGTATCCATTAATTCTGCTTCACTCATAATTATGAAAGTTAAAAAGTGTTCTAAAAGTTGTTTATATTTAAAAATTTTACAAAAACCTTTATTTATAACATATTTTATATACAAAAATTATTTTCATGAATACATAGTCGTTAATTCTGTTTCACCCAGAACTATATTTAAAGTTGTTTAATGAATGTTGTTTAATCCTGTCTTTAAAATATATGTTCTTTAGAATATTTTTGGTTAAAAAGAAATTCAAAAAGAAACCATATTTTTACTGCTATCAAACTCACTGAAATTAAAGGATTAGTTCACTTCTGAATTAAAATATCCTCATAATTTTCTCACCCCCATGTCATCCAAGATGTTCATGTCTTTCTTTCTTCAGTCGAAAAGAAATTAAGGTTTTTGAGGAAAACATTCCAGGGTTTTTCTCTGTATAGTGGACTTCAGTGGGGTTCACTGGGTGGAAGGTCCAAATTGCAGCTTCAGTGCAGCTTCAAAGTGTTCTACACGATCCCAGACGAGGAATAAGGGTCTTATCTAGCGAAACGATCTGTCATTTTCTAAAAAAAAATTACAATTGATATACTTTTTAACCTCAAACGCTTGTCTTGTCTAATTCTGCGTGAACTCTGTGCATTCCGGTTCATGACAGTTAGGGTATATCGAAAAACTCCCATCTCATTTTCTCCTCCAACTTCAAAATCGTTCTAAATCATCCTGCATCGCTGTTTTACCATTTTCTGTAAAGGACGTTTGACCTTCTTTGCACGTTCACTTTGTAAACACTGGTTCGGTACTTCTGCAGCGATGTAGGACGATTTTGAAGTTGGAGGAGAAAATAAGATGGGAGTTTTTCGACCTACCCTAACTGTTTCGAATGGGACTGCACATGCGCATTGCAGAGCTACACAAGACAAGCGTTTGAGGTTAAAAAGTATATAACTGTTTCGAATGGGACTGCACAGAGTACGCATGCGCATTGCAGAGCTACACAAGACAAGCGTTTGAGGTTAAAAAGTATATAATTTTTATTCTTTTTTAGAAAATTACCGATCGTTTCGCTAGATAAGACCCTTTGGGGAAGTCGTGGCCTAATGGTTAGAAAGTCAGACTCGTAACCAAAAGGTTGCGAGTTCGAGTCTCAAGTCCGCAGGAATTGTGGGTGGGGGGAGTGAATGTACAGCGCTCTCTCCCACCTTCAATACCACGACTGAGGTGCCCTTGAGCAAGGCACCGAACCCCCAACTGCTCCCCGGGCGCCGCAGCATAAAAATGGCTGCCCACTGCTCCGGGTGTGTGTTCACGGTGTGTGTGTGTTCACTGCTGTGCGTGTGCACTTAGGATGGGTTAAACGCAAAGCACTACTTCCTAGTATGGGTAACCATACTTGGCCACATGTCACGTCACTTTCACTTTTTTTTCTTCCTCATCTGGGATCGTGTAGAACGCTTTGAAGCTGCACTGAAGCTGCAATTTGGACCTTCCACCCAGTGAACCCCACTGAAGTCCACTATACAGAGAAAAACCCTGGAATGTTTTCCTCAAAAACATTAATTTATTTTCGACTGAAGAAAGAAAGACATGAACATCTTGGATGACATGGGGGTGAGAAAATTATGAGGACATTTTAATTCAGAAGTGAACTAATCCCTTAATAATCAATTATCCATCTTGAGAATGTTCCAGAAATGCTCAGTCATTGAGACTCTGAAGTGTTCAGTCACTTACTGATGCTCGTCAGTGGTGTTTTTCCTGTCAGTATGGGTGAAGGGAACTGTGGCGGGCTGTTGACCTCAGTCAGGCTCACTATAGTGTGCGAGTGACGTCTCTCTTTGCTGTCCTCCTCAGCCTGCGAGGAGATGTGCTGGCTGATGGGACATGAGGGTGTGACGTTAGCTCATGGATTTACTACAACATATCAAACCGTTTGCCCCATCAAGAGGAGCATCATCATGAAGCAGTGGAGGTGAAGTGAAATGATAAGTACCTTAAGCCTTTCTTTGGGAGAGTATTTCTGTCCCTTTGTGAGCTGAAAGAAAAAAAAAGAGAGAATGAGAAACGAGAAAGTGAGAAATAGAGCATTATTCAAATGACAGGACGCTTATGCATGGAAATGAAGAGATCAGACTCCAAAAATAGATCTCAGTAATTTGTAAAGCAAAATGAGCAATTAGTAGTTCAGTCAGAGGGATTATTAGCAAAGATATAATCACAGTGTTAACATAATAGGCAATTGTTCCGCTTTGATTTTCGGGTGGATGTGAACCGAGTGCAAATGTGCTGTAAGAAGATCAAGAAGCTAAATATTAAACTTCGGTGTGTAAGGTAAGAATGACTTTGATTGATAATCACTGAGGGAAGGTGTGCTGTTACTTTTTTTAAGTGATCTGACATATGATTCTTGCTTGGTAGACAACAAAACAGATGAAAAAACAGCATAGATTTACATTTAAAAGTGCAGTATGTAATATTGATAGCTAGCTTAAATTTAAAACATTGGAGAGAGTTGTTTCTCCCCAGACTCGACGCTCACACGGGTTGCCAGATTGAGGACACGCAACAGGAACAAACACAAATGACAATATGCCTCTGGTCATAGAGCCTTTTAAATGGGTGCCGAAACGTTTTATTTCGGGTAGAATCTGCGATCTCTGAACCAGTATGTTTGCTGGCTTCCATGGCTGCAATATGCTGCGTTTTCCACCAACTGGCAACCCGGGGTGTCGGGTTGACACCAAAAATCCAATTGGGTAAACTGGCAGTGGGCGGAGTCACATAGACCAAAACAAAAGTGGGTTAAGTGGGTTTGCCTACCGCCATTAAAAGGAAAAGAAGACACTCAAATGTGCGTGTGACGCACAAGAAACATTGAGGTCAGTTCCAGCGATCCATTAATCTGCCGTCAGACTATCTGAGACACCGTTGTTATAACGCATTGCTATAGGTTTCGTCTTGATTTGGTCTTGACTGACAGACTGGCATTCTGACAGCACGAGCTTCATGCTTTCTAACCTTATCTCCACTTTATGTTGCAATTATTCAGCTTATTGTACATATACATTACAAGAAGTTTATATCAGTAGTCGCATATTCATAACTGTGACCACATAATCTGTTTACAATGTCTACCATTGTAACATGTTTACATCTGCCAACATCTGTATACAGTGTGTGCATACAGTATATATATATATATAAATATATATATATACAGAGAGAGTGTATCTAATATATACTGTATATATATACAGTATATATATATATATATATATATATATTTATATTTACTCCACACGTGTGCTACAGAGAACTGATCTCCATTTGAAGAGCTGCATCATTGGGATGAGATGCTGCTGCAAAAACCCCTCTCTCTCTACTTGGAAGCCTTTCATACTGATACCTTTGTGCATTCAGGACTTTGCCGTGAACGTTCTGCATCCGTGGGACGAGCAATGAAGCAAAGCTTTGACAAAAGAGTACATTTCATTCCTAAGGCTGTGTGCAGAACTGAGATTTCAGGGGATAAATTTGACTGGATAAATGCTTTACTGCATTCAGATGACTGATGAAAGCACAAATATACCCAACTGCAAGAAGTAAAAGAGACGAGGATAAAACAAATAAGCAACAAAACAAACAGGTGATAAAATCATGGATTTGGAGCAGCAAATCCATTACATTCACAGCAAAAAATGTTTTTCTTACACAGTATTTTTGTCTTGTTTTATAGTACAAATATTTAAACATTCCTAAAACAAGACACTTATTTGAGAAGCAAAATGACTTAAGATATCAAGTCTTGTTTTCTAAAAGGTTATTATATTCCAGTGGGGTAAGAAAAATAATCTTGTTGTCCCTTTGTATTAATATATATATATATTTATATTTATTTTACTCTCTGCACAACTCTGTATACATTGAATTATATTATACGGGGACATTTTTAGGCACGTCACAACAAAAATGTCCGAGCATGGAATGGAATACAACCATACAAAAGTGTTTTGCATTAGACGTAAATAAATTAAAACAGCAGCCACACCTACTCTTTTCTGAGTCCATCATTTGTGCTGTGCAGTGGGGTATGTGAATAATGGAGGTAAAAAAAATAGTGAATAATACGAATAATGGAATGACTCGGTCAATGACTCGGATTGGATCGGGGGCACAAAAAACCTGATTGGGACATCCCTAATATTATGGTATTTTTATGCTTTAGTACAGTCAAAATTATGTGAATTGTATCTAGAGTCCTAGTAACCACATGCTAACATGCTTCACCATCTGAATGCTCTCTGAAAGAATGAGAGAGATTTACAGGCAGAGAAACAGCACTGTGAAGAACGACTCCTCTGGACACACAGGACAGCCCTGAGTGAGACTTTATTGAGGAATACATCATCAAACTCTTATGGCCACTAGACACAATTCTGTGCAACAGATATAGCAGAGTCTTCATTAATAACTCCCCAGTGAAGAAACGAATAAAGAGAGCTAGAGTTCAGAGCTGTGATGGAGGGAGATGAGCTGCTAAATTGAAACGTTATTAAAGTCAATGTGAATTAAACAAATGGGGGATTTCCTGGCTCCTGACCCTCATTAGCCTTTAGCTCTGCACCGCGGCCCAATATAAATAATGAGCAAGATTAAGGCCGTGAGCTATTGTCCAGTTTTAATATGACTAAGCAAGCGCTAACAAAATTTGGTGGTGGTTTTTATAAAGGAAACCACATAAAAACAGAGAGGCCATGTGTGGCAGAGAGCTACATGAACATTGTGGTGAAAATAACCTCGGTATAACAGGAAGAGTGAGCTGCTTTTAGATGTTTCCACTGGCACACCCAGTGATGAGCTGCTGCTTTGAACACACCACAGAATATGTTCGTTTTGGTCATTTACGTGGGAGGGCTGCTGTTTTAGGCCAGAGACAGGAAATGACCACGGTTACTGATGAATTCATAAAATACATCATTTGGTTTGTTTCAAATTTTTGGTTCTAAATATAATATAATATAACATAATATAATAATTAGTAGGGCTGTGTATCACCAGCAAAGTTACGATACGATACGTATCACGATACAGATGCCACGATACGATACATATCACGATACAGGACTGCACTGAATTTCACCAAAGCAATAGGTTATTATTGCACAAATTAACACACTCTCTACGATTAAAATTTTTTTTTAGAAGAGTTCTAAACTAACGCGCTGTCTTCACTTATATCAGGCAACCCAGTTTTAAGATTAAACCTTGTTGTAGCCTATATATTATGCTCCATTCATTCTTTTTTTAGAAACCTCGCACATTTCTACTCAATTTTAACCGAGCTGAACATGCACGTCTGTGCCGGCATTGTGTGTGAAACAGAAGCAGTTTGATGTTAAGTGCAGTCACACACACAGATCACGTT